TGATGAGTCTGGTTTGCAATTTGATCAAGGCAAAGTCAAAATTGTTTGTAGAAAAGGAACAAAAAACCCTAAAAAACTAGCACCATCGAATGAAAAGCAAATGACGACAATCTTGACTTGTTGTGACGTATTCGGTAATTATTTACCTCATCAAATAATTTATAAACATGTTATGAAAGGCTGGTGCAAAGGCGGTGCCCAGAATGTTTATTATAACAGTAGTAGTTCAGGCTGGATGGAATCCGAACATTTTTTGTCGTGCTATGAAACAGTTTTTTTGCCTCACGCAAACAAACTTTCAGGATTTAAAGTTATAAGTTATATTTAAAGTTATATTTAAAGTTGTTTTAGTACTTTAACTTCTTCGAAACAAGCTTAGACATTCCGACATGGCCCTGACGAGATGAAGGTTTGTCACATACCACAATTTCGACCATTATGATGACCTCAACCCCGAACTCCACTTGCGCGGCACCTTCCCCGCGATTTATTTACTTTTATATTGCAATGATTTTTACTACTAAATTACTTGTAATTGACTACTTTAATCATTTAACTACTAAATTGCTTTTAATTGACTATTTTAATCATTTAATCATTTAATCACTTAAGCCATATACATATCGGACATATGTTATATCTTATACATATCGGACATATGTTATGCACTATGTATATAAAACTTTATGTATATAAATTATATCAGGAACTTATTAGACTACCCAACAATAATCACACTTCCCGACCCCAGCAACAGTGAACCGAATTGTGTCGCTATAACAGTACTGCACTCGCCAAATAGTGCTTACAAAACTAGCAACAAACCTCATAATCTCGCTTATCTTAATAACATATGTTGTAAAACATATCTTATAAAGTAATTTTAACACCCCACTGCTTAATTTTTGTTTAAAATCTAAAAATCCACATAAGAATATAACCTCCTAAAACCCACTTAAAGCCACATAGGAATATAATCCCCTAAACGACAACTAATATCAACATGAGGGGTAAAAAATATTTTTGGGGAAATTTTTTTTCAAAATAATTTTGAAGTACTAACTGGGGCTAAAATTAATTCTTCACTGAAATTAATTCTTCACTAAAGCAATGTAAGTTAAAGGCGGGGAGTAAATCGAATAGGGATACTAAAAAGGTATTATTTGTATTATAGTAGAACGAATATGTACACCAAATAGGTATTAATTATTAAATAGAAACTTATGGGTAAAACGAATATTTTTACTAAAACAGTATTAATTATAAAATATACACTGAGGATAAGACCCAACAAACCTATAACTACAGTAGAAAATACGAAATCACAAATTGAAAAAGCAAAATTACATCAAAGGCCTAGAGAGTCAAAGACGTCAAAGTATTAAGAAAGACAAAAGAGAAAAAGAAAATTCAGTAAAGGAAAGAGAATAGAACCTTAATAACAGATGAGACGGGACAAATAAATAGGAAAGATTACGATAAAAAGAACATAAAAACACTAAAACTAAATAAGACAGAAAATCAAAGTATTTACGAACGACACGACAAATGACACGCAAAACTTTAACATTTAGAACACTACAAACAAAAAGTACAATAATTTATACATACTTACAGAACACTACAACAACACTTACCTAAAATCGAAAACAATACTCATCTGACTTTAACAACTCTAACTTAAACAACATTCACTTAGCTCTTTCATATTGACTGAATAATACTCCCCTTTTAAACACCACCTCAATACTGAGCAACTGCCCAAGGATTATAATTTATCTAGAACTCCTTTGCACTTATATAATACATTTCTTCCTTCTCGTAAGATTGTTATGGTCTGATAGGTCCATATAAAAAATAGCTCCCACTGCGAAACAATAGCATACTCTTTTTGTAAGTATTTTTGCGCGTACTTTCCTTATTATATTGTATGTTTGTTGTCGCTATTTGTTATAATACTACCGGTGCTGGGCCCAATATGTAAAATAAAAATAGTGAGCTTATAATATTATGTTTTTATAAAACGAATAATTTCATTAAACCATCTAAAAATAATTTAAATGTAAAATAAATAATATTTTTACAAAGCATTTTTTTAAAAACTTTATTTATATAGAAGATAAATTGTGACGAACAGCTGCACCACACCATACAAACGTAATTTAAATATAAACAAGAGCTAAAGCAAATATTGCATTATACGTAAAAAACAACCGCAGACAAAACGAGGACCATCACTAGGATCGTCCAACTAGAATAAAATAGATTTAATATAATACAAATATTTTCCGTATACCGTATTGGTTTAAACTAAATAGTATACCGTATTAATTTAAACTAAATAATATACCGTATTAATTTAGATTAAGTAGTAAAAAAATAAGTACAATTAAACGTATATTTTAATTTGAATATAAAACTAGTATATTGAATAGACCGTATAAATTGACCTAAGTAGAAACTAAATTTGAAAAGAATTATTCTACCAATAATCGTATAAATTGAACTAAATTTGAAAAGAATTATTCTCTAATAATCATATATATTAAACTATGTTTATAACTACACCATATAGCTGTATTTAAATACACGAAAATTAGTTTAAAGTAGTTAAAACAAATATAAAATTAAGTACTGCATTGAAACATATTAACTAAATATAAATTAAATATAACAAGAACAGCTCTACCTAGCCATGTCAATATTACCTTTTTGAACAAAATTATGAACCACATTAAATCACAAGAAACAATATTATGAACCACATTAGATCACAGAATCCATATAATTTTTTTTGTACTCAATGTCTATTGAATTAAGTAATTTAGTCATATTATGTTAATTGTGTATTACATTATACTTACCACAACAACGATGGAAAATGTTAATAATTGTTTTGGTTTGTTATATGTTTATCTTATAAAATCATATAGGTTTGATTAGAGGTTTCATATTTTTTATCTGAAGCTGGAAGTTTTCAGGTTACATTAAAATAAACAAACCTATTGTGGGTATCACTGTTTGAGAATATAAACTAAATTTAAAACGAATATTTCCATCATAAGGATGCACATCTTTATTAAACGAACTCAATAAATCGATCAACTGCACGAAACGGTATGAATTACAATCGAACCTGTACTAAGTTAAATAAAACTGGAATTAAGTAAAAATAATAATAAGATTTGGAATTAAGTAAAAACAATAACAAAAGTTGTTATTAAAGTAAAACAATAATAGTTTGTAATATAATCAATCACTTCTTCTCTAAGGCAGATACGGCTAAATATTTTCCATGAGTGATTATACTTAATTCTTCAAGTTATAAAACTTATATTTGAAAAGAACTTAATAACATTGGAAGTAAACAACACTGAGAATTAGATTATTTACGAACACACAAATTCATACAGGAAAATACATAAAATGACACATAGGGCTTGCATGTTTAGGACATTACAAACACAAAACACAAAAACTTGCGAAGCGCTGAATCAATACTTACTTAAATCTAACTTTACCAACATTCACACAACTCAAACGCAATCATTAAATAATACTCCCCTTCTAAACACCACCTCTCAATACTGGACATCTGTCCAAATATTATAATTTATCTAGCACTCCCTTGCACTCATATAAAATATTTCGTACTTCTCTTAAGACTATTACGGCCTGATGGTTCCATATAAGTGGTGGAACTTTAATAGCTTCCACTGCGAAACAATAGCACAATCGACATTTTCCGGCCATGTTTAAGGATCTCATCCAAAATGGTGTGTTTAAACCTGAAAATGCACGGTGTGGTTTCAAAAATACTGGTATATTTCCACCCGATCGTTTGCAAATTTCTTCTAAAAAAACTTCCATTGGTGCTGTGTTTCAAGCTGTCGAAAACAACAATATTGAAAATTTATTTGATTCTTTAACAGTATCTAGTCCATTAGTTATGGGAAATACTACTAATACACCTTACACACCATCAAGAATGTAAAATCATGAATTTTTGCTTAAAAGCTTTGCTACTTTAAATAATGCTGTTCAATAAGTGGGAAAAGATATAAACAAATCAGTGTTAAATATGCTTTGAGATCAATTGATATCAACTTTAAATAAAAGAGTTCAAAAAAGTGAGAGAACAAAGCGACCAGCTAATTATAATATGACTTCGGCGGATGCTATTGCTTACGATGAAGCTGAACAAGCATCAAAAAAACAAAAATTAGATGAACAAGCTGCAAAGAAATTTACTAGAGAACAAAAAAAGATTTCCACTTGTAAATTTACTAGAGAACAATAAAGTATATAATCACTGCTATTCAATAAGCGAAAAATGCACAGAAAAGAGAAGAAAAAAAAAAGTTGAGACAAAGTCAGTCGTCTAAAATACCAGGTAAAAAAGGTATTAAGACAAAAAATCAATTAGAAGACCCTCATTTTCCTCAAGCTTCAAATAAAATTTTAGTATCTGATGATCTTCTATGTTATTCTTGCGAAATTAATTGGACAAATAACTTAGATAACCAATGGCTTGCGTGTGAGCAGTGTTAAAATTAGTCATGCATTGAATGTGTCTTTGATTATTATCTAACCATGAAATTTATTTTTAACGAATGTGTATAAAATAATATATATTCTTTTTTTATTAAACAATTTCATTTTCTAATGGATTAAAATAATTATTTTAATGTTAGTATTTTTTGTGTATGTGTTTTTCTGGGTTTTTTTTACGGAATTAGGGACATAAGCACCTAATTCCGGATAAAAACAATATTTTTTAAAAATAAAATAAAAGATAGATTTATATTTCAAAAATAATATTTTTTATATTGTTTGATTTGTCTTTTTATGGAGTTTATTTATTTAAAAAAATTATTTCAAAATTCTTTATATTGAGCTAGTTATGACAATTTAAGTCCTAAACCATCCGGAATTAGGGGTTTTTACGGTACTCAAGCTAGTACATTTATATAAAAAACACACATATATATAATACATGTTTAAAATAAACCAATGCCAAGATAGTTTTTGGTCTCTAGTTTTTGTTTGGTTGGTTTAAATAGGTTTTGGTTTTGAATACTGTTGTTACTCGTACACAGGTTCGCACTTTAAATCGGACACCATGCTGTCAACTCCTTAAAGATTAATATAAGGAAATTATAGAAACTTAATAACATATAAAACAAAATAAGGAAATTATGGAAACTTAATAACATACCTAGTTTAGAACCAAAATAAAATGTTACTGATAGCACTAGAAAATGTTTTTGGTAATTCGTTATATATAAATTTCGATTCTAAATTTTGTTATTTTAATTATCTCCGATATCGTTTTTTAAAGATAAAGTTAAATGGAACAAGTAAATTATATCTTTATTAAAATGTAAATTAAAAAAAAAGTATAAGATTACCTTGACATTATCTGATAACTGAAAGACTCTATACATTTCACATACATCAATACCTATCAGGAGCAAAAAATAAAGTCTTACCTTTTAAAAACTATGATAAATCAAAACAAGATTAAATATGTTGACCAAAAAAAACGCAAGTAACTATATAAAAAAATTAATTTAACAACTTATTTAAACTTACAGTGTCATACCACTTGTCACATGTTTAAAACAGCTAATTCTAAAATAATTTTGAATTTAGAGTATAGTAGAATAATAGTTAAAAAAGTGTGATATAAACTTAGTCTTAACTAAACTAAAAAAATATGCATGCCAAAAGAAATGCAAGTTAAAATACAATTTTTTTAAATTTACTAATTCAAACTTACAGTGGGATACCACATGCCACGTGTCTAAAACAGTAAATTTTAAAATAATATAAACACGCCAGATATAAACTTATTATTATTATTATTAATAATTGAAACTCAACTAAATAAATATGCACGCCAATAGAAATGCAAGTTACAATATAAATTTTACAACCAATTTAAACATACAGTATGACAGCTTATACCAAGTGTCTAAAATAGCAAATTCTGAAATAATATAAACAAGCCATACACAAACTTAGTTGTAATCTAATTATATAAACATAAACGTCAAAAGAAATGCAAGTTAAAGTATAATTTTTTTTTTAATATACTAATTCAAACTTACAGTGGGATACCACATGGAAGTGTCTAAAACAGTAAATTCTAAAATAATACAAACACATCAGATATAAACTTAGATTAAACTCAACTAAATAAATATGCAAGTTACAATATAAATTCTACAACCAATTTAAACCTAGTATGTGACACTAAATGCCGTACCTCTAAAGCAGCGAATTCTAAAATAGTATAAATAAATAAACATGAATGTTAAAAGAAAAAGAAGTTCCAATATAAATTTTTTAATTTTACAACTTGTTTTAACTTACAGTGGGATAACAAATGCCATGTGTCTAAAACAAAAAATTCTAAAATATTATAAACACACCAGTATAATCTTAGTTTATGATATTGGATGCCACATGTTTAATTTGGAAATTAATAAAAATTGCAATTTATAAAAGCATATTAGCTAGCCACGTAAACTTAGCTGTGACTAACCTAAATAAATATACCTATCAAAGATGTTAACATTTTTAATTTTACAACTGATTTAAACTAATATGGTATGTTACTATATGTCATATGTCTACAATATAAAGTTAAACAAGACTATAAATAATCCATTTAGTCTATATTATAGAAATAATTATTTAAGTAACCCTTTACTACTAGTAAAGGATTAGTTGAACTTTTATTTCTCTAATATAGACTATATGGATGGCATATATTCTTGCATAATTTTCTAGATTTAGACATGTAGTAACTTACCATATATTATATGTATTAACTTACCATATATGTTATTATATATTATTTAGTAATACTAATGGCTTTTAATTTAAAATAAAATAAACCTTATTGTTAAATTTTTTGTATAAAGCTTTATATAGAAAATTTAAAATAAGTTAAATAACCTTCGAAATAACATAGCGTAATTTAAATTATATTTATCCATTTGCTTTGTCTACTAAATGTAAAGTTTTTTAAAAAATGGCATATTACACTTACTGCAACCAACTTTTATCTACGATGTAAATGTGAGAAAAACGCATTCAAAACTTTATCATTTTCAAAATAAAAAGATATAATATACTGAAAATTTTTTTTTTTAACGATTAGAATATTTAATCCGTTGAATTAACGAAATTTCAAAGAATCCGTAAATAGTTAATTTTACTCCATTAATTTTCTGGTTTTTGGTAACGAATTAATCCGTTAATTTGACAAAAAAGCGCAATCCGTTACTTTTTTTAACGGACTGTTTTTAGAGTGTAGTTAAAACAGAAAAATCTTACAAAAATTATGAAATCTTACTTAAAATCAAACCTACCGTGTACTTTGCAACTGTTCTTATAATCAAACAATTACATTAGTAACGATATTATTAACATACAATTATAAAAAAAAAATTAAACTGTATCTGTATTATTTAATTTAAAGCGGAGGATGGCTCTCTAAGACTTAAGAGTTTATCAACACTGTTGGTGGCGTGATTGTGGCGTGGTGGTGGTGGTATCAACACTGTTGGTGACGTGAGCCTTTCAACAGAATTTTACTAACCATTTTTGGAATAAGTTATGAAAATCTAAATATGAACAAGGTAATCTATTAGGCTATACCTTAACTACTTGGTCGGTCGTAGATTTATTAGATGTCAACTTTTATGGTACTATATTAAAGCTTTTGTTTTTGATTTGAACTGGTAAATAGACTGACAAAAAAAAAAAAAAAAAGCAGAAATATTTTAAAAAATTCATCTGCAAACCAGTTAACCATTATCCAGTTCAAGGAAAATGTATTCGTTTTTTTTAGGGTTGCGTGTACCGAGGTAAATTGTACCCAGTAGGCCCCCTCCCTCCTCTGGGCGGCCATGGTGTGTTTTAACACGTATAATATTTTATTTGCTTAATTAGAATTGTTTCATTGATTTTAACTTTTTAAATCATTTAAAAAAAAACTCATAATAGAAATTAAAATTTTTAAACAACTTTTTAGAAACTAATGTTAATGTTTTTAGCAAGAGAAATTTATATTATTTCTAAGTTCTAAGATTTAAAATTAGCGCAGTGGTTTTTCAAAGCAAATTATCTTATTTAATTTTTGATTTTAAAAGTTCTTGCTTAAAACTTTAAAATTATTTGCATGATTCATTTGTAGCTCTGGTGCAACCTTGATAAAATAACAACCCCATTTTCTTTGACTTAGTGTAACGAGGGGCAAAATGAGACACTTAAGCGCTAATATATCTAATACGGCCCGTCTAACAACTTTTGAAAAAATAAATTGATATTTTTCAATTCTTCTACGATCCTACTTGAAGCCTAAAAAGTATGAGTTGCAAAACTGCAGTAGTTTGGTCACCAGAGATCATTTATTGATAGCACCTATCATATCTTTAAAAGGATTAGCAAGAAATACATTTTATAATATATTACAGCTATAATCAAACTGTCACTAGTCACATAAATCACATATTGCTTAACCAGTATTTTGAAACAAACAATAGTCCGAATATATATATATATATATATATATATATATATATATATATATATATATATATATATATATATATATATATATATATATATATATATATATATATATATATATATATATATATATATATATATATATATATATATATATATATATATATATATATATAATAAATAAGTTTAATATATGCATGTGTGGTTTTATTAGTTCTTGTATTAGATATATATATATATATATATATATATATATATATATATATATATATATATATATATATATATATATATATATATATATATATATATATATATATATCTACTACAAGAACTAATAAAACCATACATGCATATATTAAACTTATGTATTTAAAGCACGCATAACATTCATTGTATTTTGTTTATAGGTACTGCAATAACCTATGTTATAATCTACTCACTATATATAATATATACTACTTACTTTATTACATTACAATACAATAAGATTATAAAATACAAACATAGTAATTATAAACATCAGGCAATTATTTGCTTCAATTTGATTAAATATTTATTATATTTAAATATAAGTTAACAAAATATAAAACGTAATTCTATATTGAATAACAACTAAACATTTCAATTAACAAAATAAAAATTAAGTAAATACAGTATAATAAATTTAAATCTACAGCATGTAAATATTAATATTTGCTTTGGTTGTTGTTTTAATGTAAAAAAATAAATAAACATAATATTAGATATCGGCAAAAAAAAATACAAACAGAATCTCTCATTTTGCCCCGTAATTTTTGCGAAGCCGAGGGATGAAATGACTCCCCTTTTACTCAACTTTTTTATTTCAAAGTGACTCAATATACTTTTCTTGACACAAAATAGTTTTTGAACACAACTGCACTTTTAAAAATCTTGCAAATAATAATTTGTAGGGCTGGCATTATGTTAAACGCGGACTGTCTCGTATTGCCCCGCTGTCTCATTTTGCCCCGCATTACCCTAATGCTTTCAAAATCTGGCATTATATCTTAATTCATTTAAATGTGATAAAATATTTCTTTAACTTTCATTTCATATGAAATTGGATTAATAAGAAATTTGTCAAAATGCTCAGTAGTAAAAGTTGATTTAAAGTAACTTTTTTTTATAGTAGGAATTTAAATAAATACGTTGGTTGTAGCTTTGCAATGTAGCAATTAGATTTGCAATGCTACTAGATTAGATGGGTTTGTACTTAATTGTAATTTAGCTGCTTAGCTATTTTTTTAATCAAAATTTTGTAAACTAAATTTAGTTACAATAAAATCTAAATAATTTATTATGGGAATGTATTATATATAACGTTACTAACATCTAAGAGTGAGAGCAAACTTTAAATCAATGATTATTTAGTTGGTACAATCTTCAATATGTTTTTGGTAATAAACTCGCAGAGATAACTTTTAAAATGATATTATAAAATTAATTATTAATAATAAATAAATATGTTTTCTTTTTTTCAATTCTTTTCTGTTTGTTATATTGCATTATATAACATAACAGGTATACTCTTTATTAGTTTTTTGTATAATTTTATCTATCAAACTTTATACGTAACAAAATAATACATTTGAAAAAATGAAGTTTAATCAAAACTTTACAAGGCATAGATAATTTTCTTAAAAAACAAAATAATTTTAAATTAGTAAAAACTCATATTTAAATATCTTCTACAGTCAATTTCACCTTCAGCAAGTTTATCAGGAAGCTGTGTGTGTGTATATATATATATATGTATATGTATATATATATATATATATATATATATATATATATATATATATATATATATATATATATATATATATATGTGTGTATATATATATATATATATTTGTATATAAATATGTATTAATATATAAATATATATTTATATATATATAAATATATATATATATATATATATATGTATGTATATATATACATATATATATACATATATATATATATATATATATATATATATATATATATATATATATATATATATATATGTATATATATATATATATATATATATATATATATATATATATATATATATATATATATATATATATATATATATATATATATATATATATATATATATATATATATATATGAATAAAACAAAAGTATTTGACAGATTAAATTAGTAACACAAAAGTGATAAGCAATAAAAACATGTTTTTATCGCTTTATCACAAACAAATAAAATTTTAGATAAATTTCAAAAAACACATATATTAAACATAACTCTGGCTAACCATTGAAAAAGTTATTGAACGAATTACTGTGGTGTCCAAACAAAATAAAAGGCAAGTTTCTTGTTTTAAATTTATTTAAATTACATAAACTTGAGCGCCAAAATTTTTTAGACTATTGACTAGAACTGAACCTAGTTTTAGAACAGAACTGAACCTCGTTTTGAATAGAACTGAACCTCGTTTTTATACTTTTAAAAATACTTAACACTAATAGGAAAGAAAATTTTTTTCTATAAATGCTATTTTTAAATTTTTGTTCAAATTTTTAAAATTTTTAAACTTGGTCAGTCCGATCCCCACCACGTCCCTGGTAGTACCGCGCTCAACTCGCTACTCCGCGCAGCGGCCTTGTTTATCAAGGTTCGTGTTTCGGAGTAATAGAGTTGAGAGAGGGTTATAACCACAAATAAGTAGCCTCCTTGTCTGTAGTGGCCTTCTCGGCCTTAAGGAGGTGAGTTAAAATTAAAAAAGAAATAAAATTTTCTTTAATAAAAAAATTTAGGTTACTAGAAACTTAAACATTTTAAACTACTTTTATCAAGTAGTTTAAAGATAACAAAACAACTGCGGGTTGTTATGAAAGAAAAATTTATTAATAAAAGTATCTTTAAAGAATAAATATTTTATTTAATGTTTTTTTTTTTCTTTTTAGTGAGGTTAATCTAGTTCACATCACAAAAATTTTAAAAGCAAATATCAAACTAATATAATCGCAAAACTCTGGAATATTTTGAATTAAAAAAATTCGAATGGAATTATATGAAAATAGTACAACTCCAGCAGGGATTAATAATAGTACAACATTGTCTCAACAGCAGATTTATTTCTACACAACGTCATTGTACATCATCATATTTAAGTCGCTATATTTGCTTTTATGTTTTTTTCTAGGCATAATAGGCAACTTGTTGGTAATTATCGCAATATTCAAATATAAAAAATTGCAAACGGTTACAAATTATTTTATTCTGAACCTTGCAATAACAGACTTTATGTTTTCTGCATATGGCATACCATTTATTTTTATTACGACAATTGCAAAAAGATGGTTGCTAGGAAATGTTATTTGTGAGCTTGTTGGTTTTTTAAACTTGTTACTTATGCTTACCTCAATTTGGACTCTGGTTATGATCAGTGTCAATAGGTTCTTAAATGTAGCTAAACCAAATGACATAAAGACACTCTACACAAAAAATAGAACATTTTTCATTATCATAGCTGTTTGGATATTTTCAGGGCTAATTTCGTTTCCACCTTTTATTGGATGGAGCGTATTCAAGCCCGATGGATGCTTTTGTACATTTGATGTTCAAAAATCAAAATCCTACACCATGTTTATTGGTTTATTTGCGTATGTGTTACCTTTTCATATTTTAGTTATCTTATATATGCGCACATATTTTACATTAAATAAACATAAAAAAAAAACTAGAAGTAACTATAGCAACGATAATAGCATTGTTTCATCATTCACAGATAAATTCTCAACTTTGGAAAAAGTTCCTGTATCGTCAGTCTCTGATCAGATAAACAAAAGTTTTACTTCAATCATAAAAAAAGAGAACAAATGCTTTAAATATAAAAACTCTTCAACAGCAGAAAGTGAAAAGACTTTGGTCATAAAGAATTTCAAACAAGTTCAAGTTACAAAGACTTTGGTAACACTTGTATCCGGCTTTTTTATATGTTGGACTCCCATAGCTTTGGGATCAACTTTGTATACTTTTGATGTGAATTTTAAAGGATTCCCAATAATGTCGCTTGGCATATTTTGTGCGTGTTTAAGTTGCGTAATAAATCCTATTATTTATTCGATTATGAATAGTAATTTTAGAAAATACTTATTTGAAATATGGAAAAAACTTTATGATTGCATCAGATGTAAAAAAGATTAGAACAATCTTTGTTAAAATCTTTTTAATAATCTAGTTCGTAATGTGAAAACATAATTTATCTTTGAGCTATCTTTTTTCAAAGAACAAATAAATTAATTTTTTTTACCGTTTAATGCAGAAACCATTTTAGCTAGAACCGGTTTGAGATAAAAAGAAAATATATATATTTATTTGTTTAATCGTTTGTAAAATAACATTTTTCAGTGGTTGAAAAAACAGTATCTACTAATAATACGTAAAACAACATACAATATACGTTTATATCAGAAGATGATTATCAGAGGACGACTAGGACAAATAGCCGACTAAGAAATTTAGTATGATTTCCACCCCCACCTTCTCCGTCCTTAAAAGGAAAATCATTAACTTTCAAACTAACTATCAAACATTATCTATCAAATACTTTTTCGTTTTCAATGTTTTCATTATTTTATTTAATTTTTCAGTATTGTTTTTTTATATATATTTATTTATTTAGCCGTTAACATAATACTTTTAATTATTTTAGTTCACGAAACTTATGTATGAGTTTCGAGAATTTCAAATATAGATGGAAAAAGCAAAAAAGAAGACGCTTTTGTCTAGTCACCGTGCATAAATTTAATTTAAAAAAAATGAAAATGAAAATAAAAAGCAAATTTCTTTTCTTGTAAAAAATGAAAAAGAATAGAATAATCTCAGAATATTCTAGACTTTAAAAAAAATTTTAAAAGTATAATTGATAAGATTAAAAATTATTTCAAACAAATAGTTTGTAATCAAAATTAAGAATTTTTATTATTAATTAAAATTGGGAGTTTTTATTATTAATTAAAGCAATTACAACTTTTGATCAGTTTGATCAAAAAATAAAACTTTGAAATAATGAGAAAATTGAAGATTATTTTTGATTTATAAATAAAGTAATCATTCCTGAAAAGATATGATAACTTAGTGAAATTAGCTAATTAATTTTATTAATTAGCTAATTACAAATTTATAATGAAAGTACCAGATCATCGCCATATATTTAATAAAACAAGAGAGCAAATGATCTCGTACTTTAATTTAAAAATTTAGTGTGACGAACATCACGGATGATACGTTTAAGTAATCCGCAAAAGTTTTAATTTTCGCTTATTCTTTACTTGAACGAGTAAATAAAAAATTAAAAGTATGATAATATAAAAAATTAAAAGTCAATTATATAATCTATTTATACAATTGTTTATTAACTATTTAATTATGATAACGTAATTGTTTTAATTGTCAATTATAGTTATACCTTCAGTTATTATATATAATTAACTGTTATATAAGATATTTAAATAAAACAATGATAATTCTATATAGTTAAAAATAATAATTATAACTAAATAATTTTAATAATTATTAAATTGTAATTTTTTAATATTTTTTATTAATGTGTATTATAATAATAACTAAATGAAAAAATATTTTTTTGATGTCATTATTATTTAAGTACAACATTAAACTTTTGTATAATTACATACATATGTATTATATAATTATATACAAATGTATATATATATATATATATATATATATATATATATATATATATATATATATATATATATATATATATATATATAGTGCCAGATCAATGGTTATAGCCCCGGATCCCGCAAATTGAGGGGCCATTTTTTTTAAGCCCTTTCCATTTAGTTTGTTCCACTATATTTTTATCATGATATGTTTGTTAGAGAAAATAAGTTTATCTTAAAAATATTATTTCCATTATTTTTGAAGATTATTTTTACATTACTCAAAAATAGATTAGATGCATTGCGATAAAAACTGATTGCATTGTAGTTCCATTTTTTAAATCGTTTCAAAGATTTTAACCAAACAAATCTAAAAAGGAAAAAATAATCTACATTAAAAAAAAGAATTTTTCTAAAAACAGCGTTTTTCAAGTGAACTCAAAAGTAGAAAACAATTTTTCTTTGAGCTTGTCAGAATGTCTTATTAGATTCCTCTCATAATGCATTATAATAGGAATATAATCAAAAAAAATATGATTATAAAATGATTACTCCTAATGAAGAGATTTAGAAAAAGTATAAGTCATTTATCAAAATTTTTGCTTAAGTCTAATTTTGAATTTTTTAAAAGTAAAAATGGTTTTGAGCTCATTATTCAACAACATGTTCCATAGACATCTAATTGCAATTGAAAATTTAGTAGCAGAATAGTAGATTTTAGGTTGAATGTAATTTTTTACTGTGTTGGGTATAGATGTTTTATTTTTACTTGAACTTTTATAA